AAATGGAAAAAAATACATGGAAGCAAATAAAAATGAAAACACAACAGTTCAGAACCTTTGGGATGCAGCAAAGGCAGCCCCGAGAGGGAATTATATACCAATACAGGCCTTCCTCAAGAAACAAGAAAAGTCTCAAATACACAACCTAGCCTTATACTGGAAAGGAGCTGGAAAAAGAAAGCAAATAAAACCTAAATCCAGCAGCAGAAGAGAAATAATAAAGATTAGAGCAGAAATCGATGATATAGAAATAATAATAATAAAAAAAACCAGTAGAACAGATCAACGAAACTAGGAGGTGTTTCTTTTAAAGAATTAATAAGATCAATGAACCCATAGTCAAACTGTCAAAAAGCAAAGAGAAAGGACCCGAATAAATAAAATCATAAATGAAAGAGGAGAGATCACAAACAACACTCAGAAATACAAACAATTACAAGAGAATATTATGAGCAATTATATGACAACAAATTAGGCAATCTGGAAGAAATGGATGCATTCCTAGAAACATATAAACTACGAAAACTGAAAAAAGAAGAAATAGAAAACCCAAACAGACCCATAACCAGCAAAGAAATTGAAGCAGTAATCAAAAATCTCCCAACAAACAAGAGTCCAGGGCCTGATGGCCTCCCAGAGGAATTCTACCAAATATTTAAAGAAGAATTAATACCTATTCTTCTAAAACTGTTTCAAAAAATAGAAATGGAAGGAAAACTTCCAAACTCTATGAGGCCAGCATTATCTTGATCCCCAAAACAAAGATCCCACTAAAGGAAATTACAGACCAATATCCCTGATGAACATGGATGCAAAAATTCTCACCAAGATAATAGTTAATAGGATCCACAGTACAGTAAAAGGATTATTCACCACAACCAAGTGGGATTTATTCATGGGCAGCAAAGGTGGTTAAACATCTGCAAATCAATCAATGTGATACACTACATTAATAAAAGAAAGGACAAGAACCATATGATCCTCTCAACTGATACAGAAAAAGCATTTGACAAAATACGGCATCCTTTCTTGATAAAAACTTTCACAGTGTAGGGATGGAGGGAACATACCTCAATATCATAAAAGCTATATATGAAAAACCCTCTGAGCTTTTCTCCTAAGGTCAGGAACATGACAGGGATGCCCTCTCACCACTGTTGTTCAACATAGTACTGGAAGTCCTATCCTCAGCAATTAGACAACAAAAAGTAATAAAAGGCATCCAAACTGGCAAAGAAGTCAAACTCTCACTCTTCACAGATGGCATGATACTCTGTAGAAAACCCAAAAGACCCCACCAAAAAATTGCTAGAAGCTCAACTGACTGTGCACCCAGCTGCCCCTCCAGTTATTCTTTTGTTGGCCTTTTTGAATAGTACTCAACTGACTTCCTTCACCCTTCCAATTATTACTCAACAAATCCTTTAGGCTCCTCTACAGATCTTTCAAGCTTTTTGTTGTTGTTCTGCAGCTTCCTCAGTCATCCTGAACTCTCTTCTAGTTACTAAATGTAGTGAGACCCTGGGTTTTATTTTTGTTTTCCCTCCCTTCACTGCAGCCTGGCAACTGCCTCCAGGTGGTAATCTAGGGCCAATCATAAGGTTCACCACCTTTGTTTTCCTTTTCTCAGGTATCATAGTCCCATATTACCTACAGTGCAATGTCTAAAAATAGCTATTTTGTATACTTTGATTTTTTAGTTGCTTATGGAAGAAAGGACAATTCAGAGATCAACTAATATATATGAATCTACACTTTGATACAGAAATTTTTTTCAAAAATTTTTATAATGAGAAAAAATCATTATTTTCATTTGTCTTATAAATTCTGCATTTCCTCAATGTACATTCTGATGTTTTCAGGAGATAATAGGTAATCTGTACATTTCCCCTCCTAGTTCTTAGAAGATAAGATTCTGAGTTAATAAAAAAGCAAAGTAATAAAAGATTCTTATTTGCTATACTTGATTGTATTCAGAGCTGTTAAGTTTATTCTAGTGAAATTGACTTTATTTCTTTTGATTTAATATCAAAACTAGCTATCCTTAATTTTCTGTCCTTAAAAGGCTTCAATGCCCTCCCCACCCCCCACTCTCTCTCTCTCTCTCTCTCTCTGTATCTTTAGAATCAAAGGGTACTATATCTGCTGGAGAGGTACACAGATTGCTAGGATATAAAATTCCAAACTATCTTTAATTCCACTAAATATGAGGTCAAAATTATTACCACTGATAGAATAAAACATATTTTGAAATGTGAAGGCAGAGATTTGGTAGGAAAGGAGTTTCAATTAGCAGAGATCTTGTTAAGTTCAATAAAAGGAAAGAGGAAAGGACTGAGAAATTGAGCATGGGCTTGGCTCAGTTCAAGATTTAAATATATTGCCTCTTTTGATTACCAAAACAACTTGGTTAGGTGCATGTTATTATTCATATTTAATAGATGAAGAAACTCAGAGTTTAAGTTTCCCAAGGACAGAATGTAGTCAGTAGGAAATGCCACATACTTTTCACTTCTGAATGTTACATAACTGGACAATATGTGGGGAGAGTGTCTCATTATAACACAACCTTTAGCAGAAGCTATTGGGGATGGTTGGTGACAAGAATTACAGTTCATAAAACAACCAGATATCATTTGATTTGGTATAACTTGTGTATCATCCTCCCCATCCTGCTTTACTCTTAGCAGTTGACTTTATTTCCTAAGAAACTAAAAGCAATTAGAAGAGAATTTCTATAAGCCATCAACATCAAATCAACCAATCAACCTATCTATATTTGAACTTAAATATTCTGCCTTTTTTCCAATAGCATGGAAAGTATGGAATCTGTCCATGCTCTAGCTGAAGGCTAAGCTCTCTACTGTGTACCACAGCCCATGTTTTCATACACTCAAGAATATTGCTTCTGAAGATATTCACGCTTTCCTTCCTCATCACATTTGCCCTTCATACTAGTTTAAATTTTTTCAACAATTCAGAACTTTTATCTCATAACAACTAAACAGCAGTTTAATAAGACTCAATAATTGTTCACAATTTTGTTTGGTTCATATCTGCTTAAAGAAACTGAGAGGATACAGGACTATGTTTTTGCTAAAATCTCTTCTAGTGCTATAATTCGAGGTAATTCTAATAATAATTGTTAATACTTATAGAGTTCTGTTTCTAGACTAGACACTGTGCTAAACACTTACATGCATTATCCTATTTAATTCTCACAACAATCCTAAAAGAGAGGTACTGTTATAATCTTTATCGTATAGATAAGGAAAGTAGAACTTAGAACAGTTAAGTAATTTGTCTGAGGTTACAAAGTAAATAGCACAGTAAAATTCAAACCTGACTTCACAATTCATGTTATTAAATTGTTACACCAATTTTGTAACCTCAATTGCATGCACACTACTGCAGATGAAAAGTTACTATGTCTTTATAATATTTATATATTTAGTATCAATAAATAGATACAAAAACAAAATTAAATTATTATAAAACCCACAATAATTTTTATCTCAATATGCAACAGAATTCACATTACACATCTTTTCTTTAAAAAGATTTATTTATTTGAGAGAGAGGATAGTGCAAGTGAGGGGAGGGGCAGAGGGAGAGGGAGGAAAGAGAATATCAAGCAGGCCTCACATCCAGTGCAGAGCCTGAAGTGGGGCTAGATCTTGATCTCGCAACCCTGAGATCATGACCTGAGCCGAAATCAAGAGTTGGATATTTAACTGACTGAGACATCCAGAGGCCCCTATTACACATCTTTAAAGAGGAAAAGTTTTAGCATACAGACACCTTGGAAAAAGATCTAATTTAGTCCTATGATTTTACAGCTAAGGGCAAAAAATATAGTTATCATTTTCTGTCCAGGTTTTTAATAAAAAATAGTAATGTCAAATGAAATGAAACATTATCATTTTATAGAGAAATCAAGTAATTGAATAATAAGTTTCTATTACATCTCAGATGTATATATCTTTACACATAGAGAATGGATATTAATCAATCTTGGAGTAAAATATGGAAGAAAAACTGCTTCAAGTTTGTACTTAGTAAAGCAGAAATATGAATAACCCTGTATTAAGATAAGAAGCATTTATAATTTGCATTTTCTTCCAATGAAATAATAAAGCCAGTGTGCCACCAGCTTGGCATTTACTTAAATGCTTATAAAAAGTGTTTAGGGACTGATTTTTAAAGTTGGCTGAATATTGGAATTGCCTCAAGAGTTTGAAAAATACTGATGCCTACTGATATAGGGTAGGGCCTGAGCATGTATTGTTTTAAAACTTTTGGTGATTCTAATATGCAACAGTTTGAAAAACACTAGCTTAGAGAACTGTTAACATAACTAAGGAGATCAGTCTTCAGCTGAAGGCCATCCCATGACTTGATTTCAGGGGATTTATTGTTATTTTAAGTATCTGATAGGTGTATCTCCCTTGACTACAAAATAAATAAAGGAAGAGATTTTCTATTTTATTCATCATTGTCTCTTCATATCTGGAATAATAAAAGGCACATAGTAGTTGCTAAATAAATATTTTGAATGAACACGTGATTGCCATATACTTCTTTTACACCACTATCTTCTAGTAGATACATGAACATAAGAATGCAAAAGATATTTATTGAGAAATTGAATGATTGAAGCAGTTGAGATAAATGTTTAAAGCAAACTGAAGACTTACATGTGCATATTTAAAAAACACATACATATATAAATAGATTAAAAGTAGAAAAAGAATATACAAAAGAGTGCAACATTTAGCATAGAGAATTCACTGAGTTTTTCAATATTCTTCACATTCTTATACTTAGAAACAAGGGTACCCCTAAACAAGTAGTACTTTAGCTAATATTCATAAGCACATGTACAGATAGAGTTAATTTCTTTTAAAAACCGAATTACAGCTTAATCTTGATAAACATGTCAGTTTTCAAAATTCAAGTAAGTAAAATTTTAGCACACACCATAATAGCTTTTGCAGGTGTTGTATTAAAAAAAAAAAAAAAGATTGTTACTGGTTAAAGTATCTGGTACCACTTTTGTTATTTGCTCTCAGTTGAAACCTATTAGTTTCTTGGCAGTCTTACACTGATAAAAAATTACTTTGGTACCTCTTTACATACGTGTTTTATTTAGAAAAACCTTATTAATAAATAGACTTCTTTTTTAGAAGCTAGATTCTTAGATATGGCTTCATTTACCAAAGTTCCATAAGTATTACATTGTAATTTTTAATTCAGTTAGTACCTTAGACTACGAAACTTTGATTTTTTTAAAATTAGCATTGGTTGTTTGATTGTAGGTTTGTCACCAAAAAGTACTGCTTCGCTCTCCGTGGTTGGGAATCTTTTCTGATATATCAAGGGATATTCCTTCTGAAACTTAAAAATGAGGTGAGAAATTAGAGGGTATTTTACATTTATTATCCTAGCTGAAGCCAGTGTTCAACATTTTATAAGAATTCAGGGCCTTTCTCAAACATGTATTTCAGAAGTGAGTATACTTTCAATTTATCCTTGCCTTTTCCTTTGCTTTCTCATATATGAAAGGTATAATGTAAGATTTCTTAGATCCAAGTTAGCATTAATATTCTAGGATTCTCTTCTGATGTATTCTTCTCCTAAATTCCAGATCTTCCTTTCCATTTGTAACACCTATGAAGGTCATAATGATCAAATATTTCATATTTGAGTATCTCAGACCTGGAATTAAACTTGCTGGAATCATGTTGCTACTGAATTTTGATGGAGATAAAAATTCTAAATGGTAATAATGAGTCACTAAAAGTTATGTATTATAATCAAAATATTTTAATTGTTTTCCCAGGCTAATCTAAACTATAATTATAAGAAGTAAAGGAAGAGTATCTTTTATTATTTTTTTTGAGTATCTTTTATTATTATTATTATTATTTAAATTTCAGGATAAAGAGTAAAGCCAGGCATGTAGGCTATATAAATAGCCTATATATATAGTATCTAAAATCCAAAATACTAAAATGAGAAATTAGATTCTAAATGTTATTAAATAACAATCAGCAACAGCATATTGAAAAATATTACATGATTGAGAACTTGTTCATTCTCTTACCTGTTTTAGTTTTTTCCTTTTCTCCTTTAGAGGCAAACTCTTGTTTTTAATAATATTCTCTAAAAGTTCTGCAATTGCAGCTTGTGAGGTAGACACTTTTTGTTCATCAAACTCCCGAGCACTAATCTGCTTGCAGTATGAATACGTTGGCAAAGGAACAATCAGTCCATCTCTAGGATTTTTAATCTGTTGTGAACGAAATGATATAGTACAAGTCATTAATTCTGTTCACGTTCCTATTTGATAAGGGTTCTTTCGATGGGATTTAGTATTAATTTCCCATCAAACAGTCAATACTTTCAGGAAACTGTATTATGCAGTACAGTAGTGATAAATCCCAGAATCTAAATCCCAGACCCACAATCTACTCGCTTTGTAGCTTTCAGCAAGTTATTGTACTACTCTTGGTCTGTTTCCTCATCTGTAAAATGGGGATTACATGAGATAATGTATATAAAGTGCTCAGCACAGAATAAGTATTAAAGTCATCCATCATCATATTGCCATTAACCATGTATTTTATTCTTTTAACTACAAAATAAAAAATCAAAGTGATGTTTTAATTCATTTTAAAACATTAATGTTCTGACATAGTATTCATCTACTGTTTTTGAGGTGTAGAAGCATGAGCAGATACTATATCATCTGCTAACAGAAGGAAATTGTAAGGATAATTATGATAAGCCAGGGCAATATTAGAATGATATATATGGGAAGAAACATATATGTGAAATATATGTGCTGGGCAGCCAAAGATTGAAAATAAGACATCTTGTTTTTGGTTACTCAGTATTCCTGCTCTCCTTCTTGTAATAGTCGCTTCCCATTCCAGCTCCACTATCCTCACCCCACCCCCCTTAAAGATTTTACTTATGTATTTACTTGAGAAAGAGAGAGCGAGAAGCAGAGGGAATGGGACAAGCAGATTCTGCACTAAGTGTGGAGCCTGATGTGGGGCTCGATCTCACGACCCTGAGATCATGACCTGAGTTGAAATCAAGAGGCAGATACTTAACTGACTGAGCCACCCAGGTGCCCCTGTCCTCACTTTTTTTGAAGAGCAGATTCTCTTCTAATCTATGTAGAGCCAGAGTATGGCCCTGTCTCTAATGCACTCACCCTCAACCACCTAAAGGATGTGTATTTAGCCTAGACTGAGCCAGAGTCCATGTGAAGAACTTTTAAATTGGTAGGTAAAGGGGTAGTTCTTTTTTCCTTTGGATTAAAAATGCAAGTCTGTGCCTTAAGAGCCTTAATCAGCCATGTGCCCCCCATTATGTGAAGGAGCCATTTGTTAAATATAGGACCAAAATGGAAATAAGAGATGGAAACAGTTCTATTGCTATTTGAGTCCCCAGATTCTGTCTATATTCCCGACTTTTAGAGGTTATTCCTGTGTGCTAATAAAGTCTTCCTTTTTAATTAGGCTAGTTTGAGATGAATTTGCCACTTGGAACTGACTAATGCAGAGAATTTTAAGATTTACAATACATACATAGCCCTTTTTTAAGTAGTCAAGATGTTTATCCACTGCAGTCTGTAAGTAAGAGGGTACTTGAAGAATTTCCTGGTGATGATCCATTAAGAAAGAAACTAATCTTGCAGCAAGAAGCTCATCAAGATCCACTTCTTCAGCACAGCATAGCACACACCGAGAAAAAGTGTTTATCATCTAGAAACATATTAAAAGATGTGAATTTAAAACCCTAAGGTTTTATATAAATAAGAGTATCAGTAATTTCTGGGTATCATGCTGAAGTACTGAGATAAAGTGATAAGCAGACTTCAGCTTAAAAATGAGGACAATTAATTACATTAGAAAGGTAAGAATATGTTATTCTTTTTAAAGTACTTGTTAAGTATTTCTTTAATGTAATTCCAAAGGATTATAAAGGGCTTAGCTTTTTCTTTAATTTTGTCACAATTTTATTGGTAAGTACCATGGGTTCCATTAGTATCATATAGATATGTCACTTAAAGAATGTCGAAGAACAATGACTTATTATATTAAATTAACCCCATAAAACACGAATTAGGAGAATACATAACATGTAAACATTAGTGGTTATGAGGTTGGTACCATTTAGCTTTTGGAATTCTGGAAAATAGCTTTTAACCCTTATTCCATCAGTCTTTAAAGACAACTCATACATACATTTTTCAATTCCATCATAAGGAGTTGTCAAATCCTGGGTTAAATTTTGTGTTTCAAAACTCATTTACTTGCATTCATATCCATATTACCCACTAAGTGTAAGACACACAAACACATACCTCATTCTAAAATAATTAGTTATCAGAATTCTAAGTATTTAGCACATGATAGATGAGGAACATATTTATTGAATTGAAATATTTTTGGTTTTATTCCTACATGTCAGACATGTTTTCCTCTCTCCTTCCAAGAGAGTCCTCAGCTTTTTATTCTTCTCTCCTAGCTTTGTAGCTCATTTATTTTCAAAGCTCCAACTACTACCTCTCTCCAAATAATCTGCCTTCTGCCCTAATCTTTATCAGGCTCATGTTTCTAATAGTCTGTCGGATAAATTTCACTTGGATGTCCTATAAACTCAAACTCAAAAAGTATAAAACTGGAAATTATTTCCTTTCGATTCATGTCTTTCAAAGTATATTCCTCTACAAACTTCTCTATGCCTTTTAATGGTGTCACAATTATTCAAGAATAATTCTTCCTCTTTAGATTGGGTCTATCATTGCTAAAGAACTGTCTTTAATGAATGGAAGAATAGAGCTCAGTTCCAGATTCCTTGCTATAAGAAAATCATCTGAAGCTGCACTGAGGAAATGGCAGCTCTTGAAAAGAGAGAGCGAGCGAGCGAGAGATCAGATACTATTTTAAGAGTTCATTTCCAATCAATATCTGTATAAAATGCTTCCACCCTCATCCACTACTGCTTCACAGTAGTTTGTTCCGATTTCTTGCCCACAATGATATGCTATCCTAATTCACGTATTTCATCAAATACAACTTTCCCACTACCACAATATTTCTATTAATTCTCTCCTTTACAAAGTTATAGTGCCCTTATGCTTTTAACTGTGCCTATATCTCCTCTTTCTTCCCCACCAAACAGAATTGGCTCAAGGTAATGGAATATGGTCTGATAATCCGGGTCAATCACTATGATCTGTTAGGAGTGAAGAAGCAAAGTGCTCAGACAAGATAAAGATCAGGATATGAAAATTTAGCATACTAGGCACAAAGGACTAATGTAGCAACATTCTGCTACTAGGAAAGATACTTTTAAGAGCTTTTCTATCCCAAGAATCTAGGTTTTGAGACAACAATATCACTCAAGTAAGTACTTTTGGATGATTTGCTTTTCTTTTTTTAATTTATGAACCAAGGCTTATTCTTTCCTTCAGAAATCAACTTACCAGTGATCTTGTACCCATTGCATCATGAAGTTGGGGCATATCAACATTTTGACTCATTCGGGAAATCATGCGCATTAAAAGTTGAAGCTTTCTACGATTTGGTGGGGGCAGTAACAAGCAACATAACTGTAGTGCATCGATGGCAACCCTCTCTAAATGAGGTTGTAGCAAACCTAGGAGGCAAAATTACACCCCACCACCGAAAAAAGTCATCAATGACATTAGTTGCTTTCAAACTATGAGCATACACAATTACATAAAGAATACTGTTATATAAATACTAAAATACATTTTAACTGTCCCTAGAAATTTCCACATTCCTCAAAAGCATGGTAGATTCTCATTGCTTTCTTCATAATCTATATGAGTATTAATATCCTTTATGTACTACAGATAAATAAAGTGACTCAGAGTAAGTTAAAATGAGGTAAAAGAAATAAGGGTTTTAGTTAAGTAGAATAAATCTTGGTTATGCCATGACAAAGTCTTTTACAATAAAAACCTTTCCTTTTGGAGGAAAAATATAAAGCAGTTTCAGAGAAGAAAAGACAGGTAAACAAAACACAGTTAGTAAACACTAAAAGTTAATATTACATGCATCAAAAGCATCAGCCTTACTTTGTGTGCCAGTCAACACAGAAGAAGCTGGAGATAAAGAATTTTCTGAAAGTTCTATTGTACTTTTGCAGAGTCTCTTATTGATTGTGGTACTAGACTCTCCGAGTTCACTTTCCATAGCTGTTTGCACACTTGTGCTGCCTTGTCCAAGATTTGGTTTCACAGTAATTTCAGCCACTGGCATATTGATATAACTATTCCTTCTTGTACTACTTCTTAAAAGTAAACTCTGAGATCTACAAAGCTGTTTTGACTTGCATTTCCCATTACATAACTCCTCTTGGTCTTGAACAGTCAAAGTAGAGGTTCTCTTAAAGCCAACACAGAGTGGCTTTTGATTACTTTCCTCTGAATGAAGATTCATTAGGGATTCCTGTTCGGTCTTAGACTCTAAAAACTGCTTATTATTTTGTTCTTCTATATTCAGAACAGATTGATGGAAGACATTGAAGACCTCTTTACTTGAACTCCCTGGTAAGTCTATAATTCCTTCTAAAGAATGGCACCTTGGTTTGATGTTAGAGGATAGAACATGCATACTACTTAAGCCTATTAAATTATGACAACTTCCTCCCATTATGTCATTAGCACTGGCTCTTCTATTTTTAAAATTAACTAGCTCCATTTTCTTAGCACATTTTTCTTGAAATCCTTGATCACTTATCTGCAGTCTCTTAGTAGTATCTGATTCTTCTTTGTTTTTGTCTTTATGAAGCAGACTGAGAAGAAGACACTCAGTTGATTTGAAGGAATTCAAATTGTTTAAGCGAAGGATTTTTGAAGACTGTGGATCATCTTGGATTTTATGTATCCCACTGGATCTATCTGAAACTGTGACGTAGCCACAAACAACTACCAGGAAATGAAACAAAAATTAAGATGCAACTGTGTGACAGTGGGCAAAAATAAAACAAAAACAATAGTAAAGTTAAAAAAAAAAAGCATCACTATAGTATATATTGTTAGTACAGTACAAATAGCAGTTGCTTAATTCAGAAGCCACTTAAATAGGACACATGCAACATACAGTTACAAAGTGCAAGACTAGAGGCTTTCCAACTTGTGATATAAATAACTTTAAAATTTACTTCAACAGTCTAATTAAATTATAATTGAGTCAAATACATTAAAAAAATAACTGGTTTCAGTCTACGAGTATTAGAAAGCTCTTAATTATAAGACAACTATAGTATAATAAAACTTAAATATTTGGTCTTTGTCTCTAGTACCTGATATAGTGTTCCTAAGATGCTTGGAATTTCCAGAGTGACAGGAGTCTTTTGTTTTTCATAATGCACCTGTTTGAGTACATCTGAGTTTATGCTAATGAGGAGACTTAGGGCTGGACTTGCTTAGAAGTTTGGAATTTTCAGCCTACCTCAGAACTCCCTGGAGGAGAGGAGGATGTGGGTTGAAGATTGAGTGCAATCACCAATGACCAATGATTTAATCAATCATGCTTATATAATTAAATCTCAATTAAAACTCTGAAGTAACAAGGCTAAGGGAGCTTATGGGTTGGTGAACATATGGACATGGTTGGGAAGATGGCATCCCTGGAGAGGGTATGAAAGCTCTCCACAGCCCTTACTTTCATATCTTGCCCTGTATACTTATACTTCCATATGGCTGTTCCTGACTTGTATCCTTTATAAAAACTGGTACTGTGAGTTCTGTGAGTTATATCAATTATTAAGCCCAAGCAAGGAAGGTTGTGGGAACCCCCAAACTGGTAGTTAGTTGGGCAGAAGTGTGAGTAAGGCTGAGGACCTCATTAACAGGTGGTACCTGAATGGAGGGCAGTCTTGTGGAGCTGAGCTCTTAATCTGTGGAGTTTGCATTCACTCTGGATGGTGAGTATCAGGACTGAAGGATTTTGTCCCTAACTTGTGGGGTCTAATCTAACTTTGGGTAGTCAGTGTCAGAAATGAATTGTAGGACATTCAATTGATGTGGAGAACTGGTGTTGGAATGACATATTTGAATTATTGGAAAACAACATAACAGGAACCAGAGTATTCCCAAATTTTAAAATAATTCATAGCTTGCCACCTTCATATTTACCTACACTTTTAGATCTTTTAAATTATGGGAGACTTGAAAAGGTTAATAAGATAAATTTAAATAGTAAGTAAAAGTCCATACATACCCAAAATGCTTACAAATAATTCATAATATTCAAAGGTAAGCAGAGGTTCAGGGAGATCTAGAAAATAATCTGCTATTGTTCTGAATACATCTCGTTCAAATCCAACATAAGTTGGATTACTCATATCATTATTTCTTGGCCCTACGAAACAGGAGGCAAAAAAAAAAAAAATTGGCAAAATGTATTTTATTTTAAATAAAAATTTTAAATATGCCTGTAAAAAGTATAAAACCTGTATTTCATGAAGGAGCTAAGTTTAACAAATTCTGTCACAATTCAAAAATTTAAAGAGTTGTGCACATCTCATTCTTTCTCATTATGTTTTCATTAGAAATACGCAAGCAACTACTAGCATTTTGTTTTAATATTTATATACCTGAAAATTGTATATAAGGCAAAATTTGAAATATATTTTAAAGTATTAAGGTTATTTAATGAGATTTTATTACAATTCATTTTATAAAACAAAGAATATTTAGATAATGCAAATAATCCTTCTAAATTATCTTTTGTAAATTTACATTTTCATGAACAAATTTTACCTAACACAAAGCATGCCCTTAATGAATTTAAATAATGTCTTTATATTTCCATTTCATTAGCTTAATGTTCTTGAAAGAATCATTCCTGCTCATTATTGTTTTACTCAGAAATAAAAAAGTGAAGCTCAGAGTAACTTGCCTAAGATGAAAGAGACATTGGTGGTAAAACTAGAATTAGAACTTAGAGCAGTGTAAGTGAGAGCTAGACCCAGGACCTTGAGGTCTAACAATATTTAAAGTATGCTCCATGGACTACATAATCAGAATCATCCAATGTGCCTATTAAAAATATAAGTTCCTCTGTACAGACCAGAATTTATGGAGGTGAAGCTAAGAATTACTGACTTAAAAATGTTTGCTTCTGGCTCACTAATTTAGTAGTTTCCAAACGCTGATCTGGGAATCTTCACTATAAGAATCTTCTCTGTGGAATCAACTGAATGAAACCACCTAATGAATCAACCGAATCAGAATCTTTGGCTAGTTTCCTTAGTTACTGTAATATGCACTCAGGTTTGAGAGTCTATCTTTCTTTCTTTTTTTTTTTTTTAAAGATTTTATTTATTTATTTGACAGAGAGAGAGAGACAGTAAGAGAGGGAACACAAGCCCAGGCAGAAGGAGAACCAGACTCTCCGCTGAGCATGGAGCCCAATGTGGGGCTCGATCCCAGGACCCTGGGACCATGATCTGAGCCGAAGGCAGACGCTTAACAACAGCCACCCAGGTGCCCCACTATTCTTTTTCTTTTCTTTTCTTTTTTCTTCCTTCCTTCCTTTCTTTCCTTTCCCTCTCTTTCCCTTCCCTTCCTTTCCCTTTCTTTCTTCTTTCCTTCCTTTCTTTCCTTCCTTCCTCCCTTTCTCTCTCCTTCCTTTCTTTCTCTCTTTCTATTTCTTTTTCTTTCTTTCTTTCTTTCTTTCTTTCTTTCTTTCTTTCTTTCTTTCTTTCTTTCTTTCTCTCTCTCTCTTCCTTACTCTTTTTTTTGTTTCTCTCTTTTTCTCTTTCTCTTTCTCTCTCTCTTTTTTTTTTTTTTTTTTTAAGATTTTATTATTTGACAGAGAGAGAAAGAGCACAAGCAGGAGGAGCAGCAGGCAGAGGGAGAAGCGCTCCCTGCTGGGCAGGGAGCCTGATGCAGGGCTCCATCTGGGAATCCTGGGATTACGACCTGAGCCCAAGGCAGAAGGCAGATGCTTAGCCACCCACATGCCCCACTGTTCTTTCAAGTTAAAATCTTACTCTTCCCAAACCCAAATAATCTCTCTTACTTCTCTGTCTCCAAGCTTTTGTATTGTCATAACAAATGTGAGCTCATGCACTAAAAAAGGATTAAAGGAAACAAATCACACACATTTAATAGCTTAAAGGCTAATATGGATTTTCGTAGAGCAAAATAAACATCTTCTTAAGGAGGATAAGAAATATTCTCAATATGTAGAATAAAAAATTTTGATAATCATTACAAAATTTTCTAAGACAGAAAATACACCTACTAGAATTAAAATACAGAATTTATAGTTAGAGAATCTAGGTTTGAATGCATAGCTCTTTATATTATCAGTAGATCTTCTAGAAACAAAAAATCTCTTCTAGAAAAAAAACATAATAAATTAATATATTAATCACTGATTCCTGTATGTCACAGGATTACTACAGGGGATTAAATAATAACTACAAGTCTAAATACTACCTCTGGCTAGATATATTGTTAAACTGGAATCTAGTAAATTACATATTTGGTACCATTTAGGTATAACATAGACTGGTAAGAAAGGGAAGAGAAAAAAAATCCTTCAACATGGGATGTCAGAGAAATCCTGAAAGTCTAAGTATCGGAGTTGCTAACCATGAACCAAGGTATGAGAGAGAAGGGCAGTTAGGTGAGGGAAGGTAGAAAGAGAAACTGAAAAATTGAGCTTATGATTAAGACCTTTACCTCAATTTGATAAATAAAATCTATCACTTACATTATTTACTTTATTGCTATTTATTCTGTTATTTTGTCATATTGACACCCAGTGGACAACAGGGAATATATACCTATCTTGAACATCATTAATAAAATACTCATTTCATAAGAACTAGAAAAATCCTTTTATAACAAAACTATCAAAATATAATTTAACTTTTGATGATTTATTATTTATTTTTAAGATTTTATTTATTTAACAGAGAGAGAGAGAGAGAGCACAAGCAGAGGGAGAAACAGGCTCCCCACTGAGCAGGGAGCCTGATGTGGGGCTCGATCCCAGGACCCTGGGATCATGACCAGAGCTGAAGGCAGACACTTAGCAGACTGAGCCATCCAGGCACCCCACTTTTGATGATTTAGAAGCATATATTTCTGCATATTTTTAAAATTGACTTTTAAAGCAATTAGGGCTTTATACTTGAACTAGGGTCTCAAATTATAAAAATCAGTTATTACTGATCATTATGGAAAAAGCTTGATGAACAAGATGCTAAAAAAATGGTTTGCTGATTAGTGACAGATTTTTTTTCCCCATAAATATAAAAGTCCCATTAATATATCTGATGGAGTACAAGCATGTCATGAAGCACCTCAGTGTTGAAGCCTTGTATAATGGCAAGGGGACTAAAGTAGATTTTATGCGACTTTATTTCTGATTGAATCTTTCCAGCTTGTAAGAGCTATGTTACTTACAGGTTGCTATTTGAATTCTAGAGGCCTCACTAAGACAACTGATGTAGGTTATACCTAAAAATTCTGTAAGATCCACTAGCCTATGATTTTATGATTTATGAAAACTGAACCATAAATGATGAGATTGAATTATAAAATCATCATCTGCATAGAAAAAGTTAAGGACTATTCCGCATGCAAGGAAATGTACTCAGTTCTACTAGATTGTCATTTAAACATCAAGAGAAACTGGCATACTTTATCAGGACCTCTAAGAATTATTTTAAAAATCTCCTTAGTTCTTGTTAAATGCTATGAATATGAAACATATATATACATACATATTTTGCTTGTTTAACTTACAATTTGCTAGACACTTCATGGCAGATAATACCCAATGAGGAAGGTCATCTATACAAAAAAATATTTACAGTTTAGAAAATCACACAACTTTTATGATAGTATATTAAAATTTTACACTTACTATATATATAATTATATGCACACACATATATGCATGTGTATATATAATGCATGTATGTATATACATGTATATTATCAGGATTAAAAATTATTATATGTTTAACAAGACATAAAGCCAAAATAATATTTTAAAAGACAAGGTTAAAACTTACAGAGATCTTGAATTTGATTCTTTCCATGATACATAAACAATTAGTTATCCCAAAATTGAGGATAAATTATTTTGGTGGGGGTTCAAAAATAAATTAATGTTCATCCTTTGTCCACTACTACCATGTTTTCTTTATCCTCATTTCCATTCTAATTATAGCTATGCTATTAGAATATTACTGATTTGAGTGAGATCTATGATTGAAATGAGCTATATTTGAATATTAGGGTTCTTTCACAGTGAGGCTTCCTTAAAATCTTTCATTTGCCACTAACTGAAATATGCTGCATAAAATCTAGTAGTTTTTTGACACCCATCAAAAACCATACATACACTTGATTTGAAAAGTTTATGGTTATAAAGAACAGAAAGCTTGAATAAGATAATATACTATTAAGTATGTGATTTTAGGTAATGAAAGGTGGGACTGGACCAAAGCCATATGCATATGCAACATGACTCTTAAGTTTTTGCTTTTTGTTCCTACAGTTTAAACCTTAAAGTTCTTGCCAACAGAAAGAAACTCAACTAATGCATGCCAGTTAATTCTCCAGGCAGCAATTGATTATGAAAAATGAGTCAACATTTTGAGATTTATTGATACATTTCTTGAAATGTTAAGTTTTGTAATGCACCTGGCTTGAATTATATCCCTAATTTTTCCATCTTAGATCTATAATCAATACATTATATAAATATATATAATACAAAGCCAGTAATCTTCAAAATATCGGCTTTGAGAGTTTGGGCTTATTTTATTGTGTGTTACCTCAGTTTTGCGTATATGTCTAAACCTGTGTAAATTTATATGTAACTACTCACGTAAGCTCCAGGAAGTCATGGGCCATTTTCCTCTTGTTCATTACTAAATCTTTAGCATAATGCCTGGTACATTGTAGGCCCTCAGTAAAATGTAGTTATATGCATAAATACCACTTAGGGGCTAGAATAATAGTATGAATAATATTAACTTAAAATGATTACTAAAGCACCTATGATAAAATAATAATTTCCCCTTGATGCTCTCTCAGTTAAAATATTCTACTTTCTATATTTTTAGTCTCTCTGCACCCCCACTATAGCTGTAACCTATGTTAGCAAGTTTAAAAGATTCCAACTTCTTTTACTGATACCAACCTGATTTGTCTTGTAGTATAACTATTCCATGTTTACTTGTATTGGTCATGTTGTACATTACGTATTGAGGAACCACTTGCTTTGGATTTATGAGTTCTTCTAGGGATGGCACACCTAAAATGGTTTGCAGGCTAAACAGAAGAAAGAACACAAACTTCTTTTTCTCTATAAAATAAGTGGAATAGGATATAAATATGAAAGAGTATTAAAGGCAAACAACGCCATCAGAATATTTCTTTTCTTAAACCAAACTTATAAGATTTATACTTAGTATCCACTTTCAAATGTATTTATCTTAGTAAACTTGAAAGGATTCCAATATAAGACTCCAAACTATAGGTATAACTTTGATTCAAAGAAAAATAAATCATACTGAAAACATTCTATTTCTACTATACTAGAACTATAACAAGAGAATTTATTAAGAAACGCATGTAAGTTAAATTGTAAGATTTTTTGCATTTGTATTATCTCGATAAAAATGTCAAATTAACATTCTAAACACCTCTGGAACTTGGTTAGAGCTTAGTTTTAGCTTACTAGATTAGAATAACATATCTCCAAACTTCTTCAACATCTTCCTGGCTTATTTCTCTATTATCAACGGAGTTTTCTTGATCTTCATTGATCATTTCATGGTTCATTTTCTCTGTATTTTCCTGGAAAAAAAATTACTTTGGTTTAATATATTATGCTCAAATTAAGGAAATACTGAACTGGCACAATTCCTAATACTTGGCAATTTTATTGGTAAACAGTCTAGTGATGCTATAAGGTAAGTATCACTTAAAGAAATAATGTTAACATACAGTAAAAGAGCTTTTTGCTTTTGTAGCTGCCCCTACCACCCTCAAATCAATTTAAAACAAAACAGGCTTAAATTATACAAATACTATTTCAAGTATGTCTCACTACCATTTTAATTATTGCTCCTATGGGTTCTATGTTCTACTGTAAGACAATTTACACACATATTTTTGGAACACAATGTAGGTTAAGAGACTTCAGTATTGGCTTCAAATATTAAAGACTTACATACTTTTAATGATTTTATAATTAAGTACATGGTAATTACATTTAAACTAGTAATTAGTAAAAGGGATGTTTTACCTGAGAGAAATGTAATCCAAGTTTTTTAGGAGTTCTACGAGATAAATTTCGTAATTTAAAAATGCTATCTTTATCTTTGGAAAAGTTTTCTATGCTGTTTTTTCTCAGTTCTGGATGCCTTCGTGGAAGACTTTTAAGCGGAGAATTTGCAGGAAATCTGGTTTAAGAATAATATGCAATTAAGTAATGTAAGATCAGAAACAAATTTTTAATGCCTGTTTATCTAAAATAAAAATCACAAAAGAACTGAATTTATTTATATTGCCAAGGAATGAAGATTCTATATAAATAGATTTTCCCATTAAACCTTTAAAAAATATTTTAATAGTTTCCTACTTTCCTTAGTATACTGTACATATTTTAACTTTATTATCTGGATAATTCAGAGTTATTATTGGGATCAATTCTGTTGAAGAAGAAAATGGTTCCATTTTCTAAATTTCTTTGACAAGCGATCTAATTTATATATATTTTCTGACCTTTGTCCATTGTGCTTGTTCTAATTTCCAGACCTCGGTCTCTGTTACTCCTTTTGATTATAAGGCTTTTTCCCCCCTCCAGTGAAATAAAAAATATTTCAAAGATACAAAAAAGTACAGAAATATAGACAATATCCATGTATGTAATCATCAACTAATGCAATTTTTAACATTTTACTAAAGACTTCATTATTATTTTTTTGTTAAATCAAAGAAATTCTTTGCTTATTCTATTTCTTTCTCTCTTTCTGAGGGAAGCCATTAACTTGCAGTTAGTATATTTCCTTCTTGTTCATGATTTTATACTTTTAATAAATATTCATAAACAATATATACGGTTTGGTGTTTTTATATTCTACGGTATCTTACACATTAAATATACGCATAAGTTTTTCGTGACCTCAGAAGTTCTATTATATTCCACAGTCCTAAAAATACATTTTTATATTCCTTCATAAGTGTTTTATTTTCATATTTAGGTATTTAATCCATGTATAACTTATACCAAGTTCCCATATACAGTTGACCCTGAGGATGGGTTTGAACACTTATACACAATTTTTTTAATAAATGCAATACAGTATTATAAAAGTGTTCTCTTCCTTCTGATTTTCTTAACTTTTTTTCTCTAGCTTACTTTATTATAAGAATACAGTTTAGGGGCACCTAGGTGGCTCAGTCGTTAAGCGTCTGCCTTTGGCTCAGGTCATGATCCCAGAGTCCTGGGATCAAGCCCCGCATCGGGTTCCCTGCTCCGTGGGAAGCCTGCTTCTCCCTCTCCCACTCCCCCTGCTTGTGTTCTCTCTCTCACTGTCTCTCTCTCTCTCTGTCAAATAAATAAATAAAATCTTAAAAAAAAAAAAGAATACAGTTTATAATACATGTAACATACAAAACATGTATTAATTATGTATGTTGTTGATAAAGCTTCTGGTCAACAGTAGGCTATTAGTAAAGTTTTTGGGGTCAAAAGTTGTATGTGGATTTTCGACCATGCAAGGAGTCAGTGCCCCTAATCCCTGCATTATTCAAGAATCAACTGTATGTATGGGTTTGCTTTTTCAGTAGTTGTTTTAATTTACTTTAAGCCCAGATATCATATAGGGCAATTCTCCCTTCCTTGTTCACTTCAAAATTGTCTTGAACTTTTATATTACTAAATGAACTTTAGAATCTGCTTGTCACATTTTATAAAAAAATTATATGGGATTTTGAATGAAAATGACCTAAATTTATATATCAATTTTGTGAAAAGTGACTTTTTTATGATATTAAGTCTTTTGATTCATCAACAGGATATCCTTCTCCACTTATTACCTTCAATACAATTTTATAATTTTCTCCAGTAAGGTTTTACACATTTCTGGTAAAGTTTATTTTTAAGTACTTTATAATTTTGTTACCATTATAAAAGACTAGAGGCAGAGAGACTAGTTGAAGAATTACACAGAATTCCGGGTAAGAGAGAAAAATGGTCTAACAAAAAGAACTATCAGGGTGGAGAGAGAAGTGAACAGATAGAGAACTACTGAAGCAGTATAACAGACATGGTTTGTTAATTAAATCATATTTAAAGGGGAGAAGAAAGGAAAAGAATTAAAGCATCTAAAGGAGAAAACAGTGCCATTCATCTAGGTATAGATATAAGAAGACAAAATTTAGGTTAAGACATGATACTGGTTTTTCTTTATGTTATATCTGAAATGCCTAATGGGCAAAAAATGGGTCTAAAGCTCAGGAGGTATATTTGGGTTGGAAGTTTGAAAGTTAAAAGGAAAGTAGATGAAGACATGGCAATAGATTGCCCAGGGAGAGAGGTGAAGTAAAGATAAGTCTAGGACCTTAAGAACCAGTAACAGCTAAAGGATGAATAACAGCAAAGGAGCTCACAAAGGTGACTAAGCTGTAGTTAGGAGAGGAAGGATTGGTAGGTGTTCTACAAAATGAACTATTCATATGCTTGTTATTGCAATTGACTTGTACAACATAAATCATCTTTGATACAGAGGCAAGAATTAACTTATAAGACATTTCATTTGAAAAGTACTAATTTTGTAGAGAAAAAAAGCATAGGTATTAGAATCCAAAGACCTAGTTTAATGATTTATGAAACAGAACCCTGTGTGCATGAGAGAAAAAGCAATTGTGCTGGCCTGAGGGAGTCAGAAAGGCTCCAGAGAAAGCTGAAATACAACTGACAGGAGAACAAATGTATTTACTAATCTGACAAATGTCCATAGCGTTTCAAGGTAGAAGAACATATTTCAGACATATGTAACAAGATTAAATGAAGCATGGTCTCAGCTTCCTCATCTGTAAAAAGGAGCTAATACCTATCCTGCTTAACTAATCCAGGGATTAAATAAGAAAACATATAAATCATAAAGCAGGGCTTCTGATACATGGTAAATCCTTAATAAATATTCTTTTTAACTTATGGTATATTTCTTCTGTTATTTATTATATAAAGTTTGCTATTATTTATTTTATCACATTTATTCTTAGATTATATAAGATTATATGTTAGTTGAGGGCAAGGACCTGTGAGGATTTGTCTTACAATTCCTCAATCTATGAAACTAAAGGTTAATAATGATCTGTTCTTGAAATGTTACAGCTTTCAGAATATGAAAAAGTGATAATATCTCACTCTATTTTATTATATATACTACTTAACATTTTAAAAGTTTTTTTTAATTAATTAATTTTTGATGTAGTGTTCCATGATTCATTGTTTGTGCATAACACCCAGTGCTCCATGCAGAACGTGCCCTCTTTAATACCCATCACCAGGCTAACCCATCTCCCCAACCCCCCTCCCCTCTAGATCCCTCAGTTTCTCAGAGTCGATAGTCTCTCATGGTTCGTCTCCATTTTAAAAGTTTTAATTGTACAGCAATTAACTTTAACTTCTAAGTGCTTTTAATTGTACTAAGAGCAGTAAGTTTTATAAAGAAAACATCTCTTCTGAAGAAGCTGCAATTTTAGTAAAAGTATTATAGAAGTGGCGTTAAACTTTATTGTTAAGTAATTCAGTTTTGCAGTTATTTATCTGTTCAGTACCTGAATAGCTGACTGTTGTCATCAAGGTTTTCTGATCCCCATCTGCCTTTGATATCTTCAATTACATGATTCTTAAGAAATTTTCTCAGCAGTTGGAGAGTCTGTTGCCTTGTAACTTCAGGACCAAAATTGTTATTATTTCTTAATAGGTCGTAAAGCCAATCCACTGCTTCTTCTGCTGTAAAACAACTGCCATATTTTTTAAAGTGTTGCCTGTGTTTTCTTAGAGGCATTCCCGCTCGAAAAGATGTGGTAATTTCATTCCACTGCAGAAAGAAAATATTTTTTAAAATATTAAACAACAAAAATTAAATATCTTACTGATTTGAAACAAATTAGACAATGAAAATTATTTTATTCACATCTGATTACATTATAAACTTTCATGACAAAATCATTCATCTTATTTACTACAGAAAATTTTATATCTTATACTGATTTCTCTTTATTCTAGCATTGTAATAATATTTCTTTGTAATAGTTTTTGACTAAAAGCACTTCATGGTCTGGTTGGCTTATTTAGGAAACCTACAAATAATGAAGAACTGCAGTGAATCTGCCTTAGTCTTCAATAGAGAAAACATTTCTTTCTTTTTTTTTTTTTTTTTTAACCTCAACCAGTATTAGTAAAATGTTAGTAGCATTTGCGTCAGACACTGCTTTACATTCATTACTTCACTTTCATTCTCACAATTCTATGACTAGGTACTATTACTATTCCATTTTCATATAAGAAATATGAAGCACAGAGAGATTTAATAATTGGACCATGGTCACACAGCTAAGTGATGAATCCAGGCATTCAGACCCAGGTTTGATTGACTCTAGAACCTGCATTCATAACTACTATGCTGGCCAAACAAAATTCATGGCAGGCAGTAGTTTTACTGGTAAAATATCTTTAATGTTGAAATACCTTACGTATTTACTATAGTATTTCTTACATGAAGATTCTAACAGCAAACATAGAACAGAAGGGTAAATTAACTAAGCTTTAAGTCCACTGCATATTGAATAACAGTGATGTACCTACGTTTTAAAAAATACACATATTTTCCAAATTGTCCTCAAATAACCCAAACTTTCAGGTTTGTGGCAGCTCTAACACTGGAGCACCAAGGTGGTGATGGTGGTGGTGTAAAATACACACATCACTCTTTAATTGAAAAATTCTATATTAGAGGCCAAGAAATCGGATTTGCAACCCCAACGATGCCACTGCTAGCTATGTTATCACTTATATAATCAATGCAGCCCCGACACCCACAACCAAAATTTAAGAGCTGAAAACACAATAACTGTTCTTTTCTTCCCAGCACACCTCCACATTTCATACATTTATTTATTCAAGAAACATACTGAGCTGTAACTTACCCATAGGATGACAGACTTTCACATACAGTATCCTCTTGGGATATCCTTTAAGGTGGCTGTATGCATTATTAGCCTGACTTTACCAATGTGGAAACTGGGGCTCAGGGAAGTTAAGTCACTCTCCTAATTCCACGTACCCAGCGGCACTGGACTCTACTGGATTGAGAATCGAAATGCACAAATCCAGTGACTACCAACAGTGGTTCCCGTTGGGTATCTTAACTATTCCGGGTTTAGTTTTGCAACGGGCAGCTGTTACCTAGCGCTATTTCAATCGGTAGATCCTGCATTAAATTCTCCAGGCCCAGCAAAACGAAGCTGTCACATTCGGGCTGCCCCCACTCTGACACTTCAGAGTAACGCAACTCTTTCTAAATTCTTCTTGAATCCTGATGGGGGTAGAAAATGAGACGTGGGGAGCGGCTAAAATCGGAATAGTCTATGACTTTCCAGGGCACGCCGACACCTGCAGGCACAGGAGTCGCTTAAAAAGGCTGGAGGATGATGCGCAGTCCCGGGGACGCGACCCTTCGGACTCACGGCTCACAGACACAGCCCAGACCCACAAAGAAGGGGGAGAGGCGTGTCCCGCAAGGGTTTCCCAATGCCTGGTAATTGCCCCCACTTCCTTTTCAGCGAATCAAGGCAAGGGGCTCTGGGACCCAGCTGTCCGCCCAAGACGAAACTACGAACGTTCTCACGTGAAGGTGGCGGCGGCCATCGCGGCGGCCGGCCCGTCCAGTCGTTCCGCGCTGTCTTACCAGTTTGGTGGCCCGATAAGGCCCGGGAGGCACACTCCGACTCGCCATTCCGCCCGGCGGGCCCGGAGGTCTGTCAGCGGCCCTCGCGGTGCATGGCGGCGTCAGGCGACCCCAGGGCTCGGTGGCCCCGACGGCGGCGAGGCTGGGCACAACCGTCGGCCGCGCCGCCAATTTGAATAGCGCAGAGGGCCGCGCTGATTGGCCGCGCCTCCGAGTCACGTGGCGCGCCGCCAGGACCCGGCCGCCGTTGGCCTGCGCCGTGTTGCCTCTCAGGGCTGGGGCGCGAGCGGCGGTGGCTGGCGCCGTCTAGTCAGCGCGGGGGCCGGGCCCGTGGGACGGGCTCTGAGCCTCACCCGGCTGTCCTGGAGCTGCTTCTCCTCCCTCTTGCGGTCACAGGCGAGGCGGAGTCGCGTTTCCACACTCAGAACCGGTGAGGCGGTTTAGCCACAGACTGGATGGTTTGGAGTCCAGGTTTTGGCTTAAGGGAATTTGAAATTTGAAAAGAAAAAGAAAAACAAACCCCAAGCCTTTTTTGCCTGGCCCTACAGGATCTCCAGCAGTGGTTGGCGTAGGGGCGTAGCTTTCTCCTGACAAACCCCTTGGTTTCGCTTTTATAAAGCTTCCTGGGTGTATGTTGCAGTGCTCTCATCCTGGTACGTCTTAGCAGGGGCCATGATCCCGTTCTCCCCAGTGCAAAAATGTAGGGTATCCCCTTCCCCTTTAATTCCGTGGTAAAATGGAGCATAAGTAGATTTCCAGTAAGTACGCACAATGAAGGGCTTGGGAAAGGTTATGTAAAACTTGCCAAATTACTCCCCTAAAGAAAATCTACCGTCTTTATAAGAATCCTGGTTATGGGGGCGCCTGGGTGGCTCAGTCGGCTAAGCGGCTGCCTTCGGCTCAGGTCATGATCCCAGGATCCCGGGATCGAGCCCCGCATCGGGCTCCTTCCTCAGCGGGGAGCCTGCTTCTCCCTCTCCCCCTGCCTGCCACTCCACCTGCTTGTGCTCTCCCTCTCTATCTCTGTCAAATAAATAATAATAAAAAAAAAATCTTAAAAAAAAAAAAAGAATCCTGGTATGTTTAAATCATGATTATACACTTAAAAAATGTCATTTTGCAAATGTCATAAACTAAGTTCTGAACGTTGAAGAGACTTGCCCACAGTCGCACATCTCCTTGGCAGAGGTTAGACTTCATACTCTTAATAAAATCTCTATCACCAGTCTGAAACTGATACTAGGAAAGCCTTACTACAGCATACTGAGAGGTTGCTTGAGTGATTTGAAGGTGTAGAATAATTAATTCGGAAATTAAACAGTAATTTAAAAGGATAGGACTTAGCAAAAAGTCGAGGTAAGGGAAAGTGTTCTAAGGAAGAGTAGTATAATGGTCTGCAGTTTATTTTAGCTACAGAAGTTAAGATAATTTAGATGGAGATACATCTGTTTTCTGAACAGGACCAGTGGATAGGAATTTTCAAAAACCACTTGGTAAACGGGAACAATCATCTAAATTTTACAGTTGTGTTAAGGAAAAGTAGAATGATAGATGTTACAAAATAATGTTAACTATTGTTTATCTGGCTTTATGACATATTGTCCTTTCTTTTGCCTCCTATTTCCCTCCAGAATGACATGGGGATGAGAATGTGAAGCCAAATTCATTTTGCATTTTTGCCTAGCTCCTTAGTTGAAAATTATCTCATTACAGCCTTTGATACAGCTTAATATTACCTAAGTTTCTAAGACATAACCTGACAGAGGATACTATTAATGGCACAAAATTAATTTAAAATTACAAAGTATCATCTGACATTTTTTAGAGGGTAGCAGGAAAAATAAATCCAAACTTTTCATAAGAGAGTGGTTGGAGAAGTCCTAAAAAGGCATGCAACAAGATGTAGGTGTCACATCTTGAGAAAGCCTCTGGGACTCTTTTTTTAGGTGCTTTCATTGTGTCTGTGGACTTGCTTTGCATCATTCACCTTCATGTTGACTGTTTCTGTAGATAAGAAAATATCTGAAAGTTAGGGTTTTGTCAGATGTTGGTGGTTTATGTTTCTTTAGTTAACTTTGTATATGTCTGCTCTTAGTAACTATTTATTGATTTTGTAGTTTGATTCTTGGAAGTAATTTTATTTCTTTCATTACCTGGTTTTTGGGACTCACTTCACTATTTTTTTTCTTCATTCCTCTACCTCAGGATTTCTCAGGTGGGTAAAAAAATCCACCTCCTTAGGATCACGGAATACCTGTTAAAATGCTGATTCCTTGGATTCCCTAAACGATTTTGGGGGAGTGTGTGTGTGGGGGGGCGGTGAGTGTGTGTGGGGGTAGGAACAGGGTACATTCTTAGGGATAGAGGAGCCTGGATTTCTAAAGATTTCATGGAGTTGAGCTGTTAGAATGCCCAAAGGCCACTACTTGTGGACTCTTTATGAGAGAATATGAACTACTGTTAATTCAATCTTAGAGCTGAACCTAATCCTAATTAATAGAACAAATATTAGAACATAAAATAAAATGTAGTATCACCTCTTAAATATGATGAAACAAAATATGATGAAACACAAAATTTTCTTACCTAGACAGAGATTATCTATCTCAGTAAGCTTTTCCCACATTGTTTGCAGTTTCATTTAGTCCCACTAGAATAGAAGTTCCATAGCAGAGACTTTATCTAATTTGTTCACTATTGTATCTCCAGCTGCTAAACAGCACATAGTAATTTAATAAATATTTGGTGAATGGATGAGTTTTTCTTATCACTGAAAACAAAGCTTGCATATGGGTGATATATATCCAATTATCCTTTTCTTCCTGGAAAATTTTTATAAAATATGTCTGCATGTTTGTAAGACTTATTTATTTTTGAAGTTTAGCCATTCCATCATTCTATATATGTAGTTATGAGTGTGATTTCATAAATCTTGACTAATATGTTGTCTGGTCTGAGAAAGTTTCCTCTTTTTCTTTTGAATTGCTCCAGTCTGTTTTCTTCCCTGCTTTTGAACTGTTATTGGCTATTTGATGTCCTGGGCCTATCTTATTTTTCTAATGTCCTTCCTTCTGTGATTTTTATTTTACTGTTTTTTTTCCCCTTTAAGTTTTTAGAGAATTCTTCCAACTGAGTTTTGAATTCAGTGGTCTAATTTCCTTTTACACCTTTATGTTTTATAGTAATTCACCATATAATGCTCAGAAATGACCTTCTTCTTTGAACCGCTGATTTTTAAAAAATATTTTATTTATTTATTTGAGAGAGAGAGAGAGCATGAGCATGGGGAGGGGCAGAGGGAGGAGACTCCCGCTGAGCAGGGAGTCCAACATGGCTCCTCCCCAGGACCCTGAGATCATGACCTGAGCCAAAGGCAGATGCTTAAATGACTGAACCACTCAGGTGCCCCAATTGCTGATTTTTTTATTGTATGCATTGATTTGCTTTAATTTATATATATATATATTTTAAAGATTTTATTTATTTATTTGAGACAGAGAGAATGAGAGAGAGAGAGCACATGAGAGGGGGGAGGGTCAGAGGGAGAAGCAGGCTCCCTGCCGAGCAGGGAGCCCGATGTGGGACTCGATCCAGGGACTCCAGGATCATGACCCGAGCCGAAAGCAGTCGCTTAACCAACTGAACCACCCAGGCGCCCCTAATTTATATTTTTTATGAGATTTTTTGTTTGTTTGCCATCAGTAACTGAGATGAATCCCAGTAAAGACTTGTTAAATCCATGAAAATATAAAGTAACTTATTTTTTTATTTTGCTACCATCCATTTCCCAAGATCCTGCATTCTCAAGTATGTAGACAGCTATTATATTTTAGGGTTAGAAGTATAGTTGACACTCATTGTTTTGTCTGGCATTTGGCTCTCATTTCTCTTGGGAATAGCATGCCTCCTCATTCAGAGAACTAGTTCTACTACTATAACATGTATTCTGAATGGACTCTTCCATGTTCCTTGCTCTCAGGAATGAACACAATATAACTGAGTTATAGCATTCTGCTCCCCTGATTCAGTGAGGTGGTCATGTGACCAAGCTGAGTCAAGGAGAGTCCTTTGAGATTTTTTTTCAAGGCTTCCTGCTTGGGTCAAGCAGGAAGAGCCTTCTCTTTCTGGTAACTGAATTGAGAAAATATGAGCCAGGAGTCAATGCTGGCTATAGTTATAGCTGAATGAGACTTCTACTCTGTAAAATACACTGATGCGTAAAGAGAAACAGAAATGAAAGCTAGACGGTACTAGTTTTAGTCTTTCTGAGGCTCACTTACATCTCTAGAATTTGATTACATGGTACAACTTTTGTTTGCTTGTATTTTTGTCATTTACCATCCAAAGATCTCCAGTAAAATAATTTTTTCAAGAGTGCTAATTATGATGATATTTCTTAGGAAGAATGCCATTCAACTCCTTGGTAAGGTTTATATCATTTTAGTATGTTACAGAGCTCAATATAGATAACAGAGAAACCATATAACTACATTGGGGAGATTATCAGGATTGTTCACAATCAGGTTTTGGCCTTCCTGAGGAGCTTCTCACATGTTTTGACTAAGCTAATTTTGGGACTTAGGACTTTTTTGTCTTTATTTGGGGAGTTTTACCTCCTGAGACTTCTAGTCTCCTACCTAGTACACAGTATATGAAAGTCCCTAACTTACTTCTCCAAAGCTTCTAGTAAATCCCATAGTCTCAAACACACTATGTAAGTCTACTGAAGCTTGGGAAGAGGAGGATGACAGGGACCTGTGGTCAGGCTGCCATATTCCATATTTTTCTGTGTTGTGTTTTTATGTAGTGGAACAATTTATAGTAAAGAAACATCTGGGGTTAAAAAGACCATGAAGAATTCAATTATGTGATTTCCTTTTCTCCATGTGAGATTATATTAGCCAGCCTCCAAGACAGCCCCCAGTGATTCATGCTTCTTGGCGTTCATGTCCTCGTGTTGTCCCATCACAAACCAAGTAGGGCCAACTTGGGTAACCAATAGGATTTTGCAGAAGTGAGTGTGAATCTTAACACTAGGTCATAAAAAGAATTCCTGTTCCTGCCTTGCTATCTCTTGGATCATTTGCTCTGGGGGAAGTCAGCTGCCATATCATAAAGCTATTTGGACAGTCTTTTGGAGAGGTCCCTGTGGAAAGGAATTGAAGGCTTATGTTAACAGTCAGCACTGATTGAGTAAGCCACCTTAGAGTGGATTCTTCTATCTCTACTCAAAGTTTTGGATGACCAACCTTGGACAAAAGCTTGACTGCAGTCTTATGAGAGACCGTGGGCTAGAACCACTAAGCTATATCTGGTATCCTGACCTGCAAAGACTAATATAATAAATGTTTATTGTCTTAAGCTGTTGTTTGAGAGAATTGTTACAGAGCAATACATAACTAATATAAAGATCCTCATTGTTCTTAAGAA